TTTCTTGTGTTCCCAAAATCTCACTTCTCCATCCCTCTGCTCCACCCAAAAACTTGGACATCTCTCACTCACTGCTTCCATCTCCTCACTACTGCTCTCATCACCTCCTGCTGATACTTCATTCTCCTGCTGACCCAAACACCAGGACTGGAAAGCATGCGCACCCCGTATACATCCCGCTCACATGCCACTTTCCTCTCCCTTCTTCTCCTCCTAACCTCTGGGGATATCTCCCCGAAACCTGGTCCTCCTCTACTTCGCCCACACACAAGACATCCTCTTTCCCCCGGGAATTACCGCAATCCCCTCAATCTTATATCTGTCCCCTTGCTCCCCAAAACCACCCTCTCATTTTCATGTGCACTCTGGAATGCCCGTTCAGTCTGCAATAAACTCACTTCCATCCACGACCTCTTCGTCTCCCGCTCTCTTAACCTTCTTGCCCTCACCGAAACCTGGCTCCAAGCAGCAGATACTGTCTCCCCCGCAGCACTCTCCTACGGAGGCCTCATCCTGACCCACTCACCCAGGCCCAGTGGTCGGAGGAGGCGGGGGTTGGTCTACTTCTGTCACCACTGAGCACCTTTCAAGTCCTCCCTAACCCTCCCTCTCTGTCCTTCTCTTCTTTTGAGACCCACTGCATCCGGCTATTCTCTCCAATCTCTCTGAGGATTGCAGTGATCTACCAGCCTCCTGGACCCGTGTCCCGCTTTCTCGATGATTTCTCCGCCTGGCTACCCTACTTTCTCGTATCCGAGCTGCCCACTATCATCCTAGGAGACTTTAACATCCCTATTAATGTCAATAACCCGGCTACATTCCAACTCCTTCACATAACCTCTTCTTTTGAACTAGCGCAGTTTATACAGTCCTCCACTCACTCCTACAGGAATACCTTAGACCTTGTCTTCTCTCACCACTGTACCCTCTATAACTTTTCAAACACCCCATTTCCCCTCTCTGATCACAATCTCATCACCTTCACAGTCTCCTCGTTCTCTAACACCTACCCCACTAAACAGCAGACAATTACCAGCAGAAATCTCCGAAATCTAAACCCGGCTCCCTTCCACTCCGCAACTGACCAGCTCTACGACAGCATCAACCCCCTGTCCTGCCCTAACCTGGCCACTGCTGTCTACAACAACTCTCTCTCATCCGCTCTAGACTCACTTGCTCCCCTAACAACAGAAAGCATCAGGCCCCGACCTTTACAACCTTGGCAGACTGACCACACACGAAATCTCAAACGACACAGTCGTGCACTGGAGCGATTATGGCGTAAAACCAAATCCCACCAAGCGTTCACCTGTTATAAATCTGCCTTCCTAACATACACTCCCTCCCTTCACGCTGCCAAACAAGCTTACTTTGTCACCCTCATTAATACCTTCTCTTCGAGTCCTCGTTGGCTCTTCTCTACCTTTAACTCTCTACTTTCTCCACCCCCACCACCACCCAGTGCCTCACTGACTGCCCACGAAATTGCACACCACTTCCAAAACAAGATCGACACAATTTCGTAGGGATATCGCTACTACACAGACACCCACCCCACTTAGCATTCCTCACACCATACCTCCCTCCACACTGTCCTCCTTTGACCTCACTACCACCGAAGAGGTCCTCAAGGTCTTCTCAGAAGCCCGCCTCACCACCTGCCGCCTGGACCCTGTCCCTTCACAACACCTTCGGTCACCCTCCTCTTCCATCCTATGCTCTCTCACTCGCATCTTCAATCTCTCCCTCTCTACAGGTGCATTCCCCTCCCCTCTAAAGCACGCGCACATCACTCCCATACTTAAAAAAACCCTCCCTCCCACCAACCTGAACAACCTTAGACCCATCTCCCTGCTGCCATTTACCTCTAAACTTCTAGAACGCTTAGTCTACAATCGTATGAGCTCCCACCTCACTGACAACAACCTTCTCGACCCCTTACAGTCTGGCTTTCGCCCCCTACACTCCACCGAAACTGCCCTACTAAAGCTCTCTAATGACTTACTAACTGCAAAAACCAACCGCCACTATTCAATACTTCTACTACTCGACCTCTCCGCGGCTTTTGACACGGTTGACCATCCCCTCCTCCTCAAAAAACTACACTCTTTTGGCCTCAGCGACTCCGCTCTCTCCTGGTTCTCCTCCTATCTATCGCAACGCTCCTTCAGTGTTACCTATAACGCTGCCACCTCCTCCTCACTCGCTCTCTCTGTAGGGGTCCCTCAAGGTTCTGTCCTTGGATCCCTTCTCTTCTCTTTCTACACCTTCTGCCTTGGTCACTTGATAAGCTCCCCACGGCTTCAATTACCATATCTATGCTGATGACATGCAAATCTATCTGTCTACCGCTCACATCACCCCCTCAGTTTCCACCCACATCGCTAGCCTACTAAGCAACATATCAGCTTGGATGTCACTCCACTTCCTCAAACTCAACCTTTCCAAAACTGAGCTCCTAGTATTCCCCCCTGCCTGCGCCACCCCCACTGACTTCACCATAAACATCGCTAACACCATCCTCAGTCCATCCCCTCACGCCAGGGTACTAGGTGTAATCCTAAACTCCCATCTGTCCTTCCAGCCCCAGATCCAATCGCTGACAAAATCATGTAGACTTCACCTCCGATACGACTGTTCCTAACCCCGGAAACCACTAAGCAACTTATTCACTCCCTTGTCATATCACGCCTCGACTACTGTAACTCCCTACTCATTGGCCTACCTCACCGCAGGCTATCCCCGCTTCAGTCTTTCATGAACGCTGCTGCCAGACTCATCCACCTCACTAACCGTTCTGTATCTGCCACCCCTCTCTGCCAATCCCTCCACTGGCTCCCAGTTGCCCAACGGATATAAAATTCAAAACTCTAACAATGACATATAAAGCCATCCACAACACTGCCCCAATTTACATAACCGATCTTATCTCTAAATATCAAACAAACCGTACACTCCGCTCCTCCTGCAAGACCTCTCACTCTCTAGCTCCCTTATCTCCTCCTCCCATGCTCATCTCTCCAAGACTTCTCCAGGGTGTCACCCATTCTCTGGAACGCCCTACCCCAATCTATCAGACTATCACCTACTCTACTTGCCTTTCGGCGATCACTGAAAACATTTCTCTTCAGGGAAGCCTATCTCGCCCTCTGCTAATTCTGGAATCCTATACTCTTCCCACCACTCCATCCCCCACAGTGACTACCTACTGTACCATTCACCCCTCCCTCCTAGATTGTAAGCTCCGAGCAGCAGGGCCCTCAAATCCCTCTTGTATTGAACTGTATTGTTACTATATTGTCTCCCACTATAATGTAAAGCGCTGAGCAAACCGTTGGCGCTATATAAAATCCTGTATAATAATAATAATAATATTAATAATAATATGAAAAGAGTGTCTCCGTCAACTCCCAAATTCCCCCTGATGAAGCCACGTGACCCGGTGGCGTAACGCGTAGGAGAGGGGCTCTGACATCACCACGATCTGTCGGATAGTCTATGGCGAGTATAGGAAGTGTGCAGAACACACACAGAGGCTGATTACTAGAGGCATGGTTTTATTGTTTAAAATGTGAGTGGGACCTGTATTGACATATTAAAGTGTTTTAAAAAGGATAAGGCACCATTTCTTCTTCTTTTCTTTTGGCAAACATGTATGTGGAGCTCTGGAAGGGATAAGAGGAGAAATAGATCCCTGGAGTTCTGGAAGGGATAAGAGGAGAGATAGATCCCTGGAGGTGAGACATCCATCCATCCATTCTCATCCAGCACAGTGCGCATATATTTGGAGAACTACCAGGTGGAATATTTTATATACTGCTATGAGGAATTACCCTTGAAGGACTGTTTGGAGCATGATTAGTTACATCTGTCCTTTAGGACAAAAGCGATTTTAGCCTAACATTTTGGGCTAACAAGGAGGTGAGCGCATAATAGAGCAGTATTTATTGGTATTGTCCACTTATTGATTATCACAGGTTTCTCCCATCTCTCAAGAGGACTATTCATTGTATACGGACATTTCTGGAGATCCTAATTGTTTATTATATTGAAAAGTTTTTTTGTTTTTTTTTTCTCTCTCTCCCCAACACCATTTTGCACATGCACATCAATCACAAAATAGTATGAGTTTGTTATTTATTTATTTACTATCACATTTCAGTATGGGTAAAAACAACGGAAGCGCAGCACTATTCATTTTTATTAAGATTTTTTGGCACTGTTTATGAGTTAGTGTATGTAGCTAGCAAACCACATGTGTATTCATTTTTTGATTTTTTATGATTGATTAATATAGCACATTTTTGATTATCACCATATTAGCTCACAAGTATTATTAGCACTTGATTATTATTATACACTCTCCGTCAACTCCCTCCTATGTACTTGTATAAAAATGCCCATGTACTATGCAATCTGATTGTACAATCTCTGTACAATTTCCTTTAGATTTACCAGAACAATGGAATAGGAGGACACACCTGAACAATCCATTTAATTTGTATCAAATCAGACAGGCCCTTGTACTACATAGCTTATGGGAGGAAGGTAGTATTGAAATGAGGGAGGTGTGGTCCAGAGTGGTGAACACACCCTATTGCACGCTCTTCTATGATGCAAAGGAAGTGAAGGCTTCTGGGAAGTGGCCTACAGGAGGTGAATGCTGACAGACCATCAACAGGAAATGAGGCAATCTGAAAAGCCGTTCAAAATCTCACAGAAACTGACAAAAAATGAAATATCCTGTGGATGAGGTAAGTGACAGAAAAGCGCATTGGGATGGCTGGGCCAGAAATAGCATTTGAAAACGCTTCTATTTATTATGAAAAGTGAAATTCTGCCTGAAAAACTGAACTTATCCTTTAACCACCTCCCGCCCGCCATATAGTCCAATGACGGGCGCAAGGTGGTTCTCTCATTCTGATAGGCCGTCTTTTGACGGCCTTCCATTCTCACCGCGCATGTGCGACTCAGGGGGCGCAGCGATCGGCTGTGCTCTGTGTCCCTCTGACACAGCGGATCACCGATCTACGGAAAGAGCCAAAGATGTCAGCTCGGTCATGTGATCAGCTGTGTCCAATCACAGCTGATCACATGTAAACAGGGAAATGCCGGTTATATCGGCATTTCTCTCCTCACGAGCTGTCACGCTGACAGCTCGAGAGGAGAGGAGAGCCAGTAATCGGCATTCCGCGGAGGGGACATGTACACTGATCATCAGGGCACTGATAATCAGTGTGCCCTGATGATCAGTGTGGCCCCAGAAGTGCCACCTGTCAGTGTCAATCAGTGCAAGCTGTCAGTGCTGAACAGTGCCACATGCCAGTGCCCATCAGTGCCACATCAATGCCACATATCAGTGCATACCAGTGCACATCAATGCCACATATCAGTGCCTACCAGTGCACATCAATGCCACATATCAGTGCCCATCTGAGCTGCCCTTCAGTGCCACCTATCAATGCCAATCAGTGCCACCTACCAGTGCTGCCAATCAGTGCCACCTATCAGTGCCAGTCAATGCCGCATATCAGTGCTAGTCAGTGCCACCTAACAGTGCCAGTCAGTGCCGCCTATCAGTGCACATCAGTGCCGCCTATCAGTGCTAGTCAGTGCCGCCTAACAGTGCCAGTCAGTGCCACCTAACAGTGCCAGTCAGTGCCGGCTATCAGTGCCAGTCAGTGCCGCCTATCAGTGCCAGTCAGTGCCGCCTATCAGTGCCACCTATCAGTGCCATATATCAGCGCTGCCTTTCAGTGCCCATCAGTGCCACCTACCAGTGCCTCCTTATCAGTGCCCATCAGTGCCATCTATCAGTGTCCATCAGTGCATCTTATCAGTGCCCATCACTACAGCCTCATTAGCGCACATCAGTGAAGGAGAAAAATCACTTATTTACAAAATTGTATAACAAAAACTACGAAAAAAACATTTTTTTTTTCAAAATTTTCAGTGGTTTTTGGTTTGTTTAAGAAAAAATAAAAACCAGAGGTGATTAAATACCACCAAAATAAAGCTCTATCTGTCACAAAAAAATGATAAAAATTTCATTTGGGTACAGTGTTGCATGACCACGCAATTGTCATTCAAAGTGTGACAGCGCTGAGAGCTGGAAATTGGCCTGGGCAGGAAGGGGGTATAAATACCCTGTAGGTAAGCGGTTAAGAAATGTATGAGCCCCTATTTATTTAGAAACAGCCACCTGATCACCCACTCCAAACTTTCAACTTTCTGGGTAAAGAATAAGTTCACCTTTTGGACAAAAATAATAAATGCACATTTCTTTGCAGGTAAAAAAATTTGCATTTTTTATTTTTGTCTACAGCAGCCTGTATCAGTAGATCGCTGATGCCATGTAGGTCTCCTGCAGACCTGTCTGAATATCTGCCTGCCGTACGGGATGTACAAGCAAGCAGATATACTGACATGAAGCTTCAATGAACTACAATGGTGCTCCACAGCGCTGTAGTAGTTCTGCCGGGACTTTTAAGGGCTCATGTACACTGCAGCTGATAAACTCACGTTTAGGAGCTGTTCAGCGTTTTTTTTTAGCAGCCCCTGAACTCACCCTAATGTTTTCCTATGTGTCCATATACACATCTTCGTTTACAGTTGTTTACAGGCAGTTGAGTTTACAGTCGTGTTTTTGAATGCAACAAACTTGCGTTCAGGCGACGATTTTATCAGTGTTGCAAACGTAAAATGCTTGTAAACGTGGCTAAACCTGGCTAAACGCGGCAAATTGCATTAATAAGCGTTTGCGTTTGGAATTTTTTTTTTTTACTTTTTCAGTTCCCAATGCTGTCCAGAGCCTTTTTTCATCATGAAAAATGCATGCAAAGAGTTTTCAAGGTGCTCAGATGGACAAAACACTGAACACAGGATGTTCCTACCAAGCTTGTCACACATTGTAATGACCAATTCACACCTCAGTCCTCTCCCACCCTTGGAAACAAAAGATATGTTAATGCACATTCACACCTCAAATTCCTCATGAAGACCCCCTGCCAGGTGACGTTAATGACTCCCTCCACCAGACACCTTTCCCACCCTTGGAAAAAAAAGAAATGTTAATGAGTAACTCACATCTAATTATCTCAACACATACTGCTCTCTCTGCTTCTACTGTGTGTATCTCTCTGAAACAGTCTGAAATATTTAATAATTTACCACTTATCAGTGCATTCTGGGCATTTGGGAGGTTCTCCTGTGCTTATCGTTAAAAACGCTTCTAAACGCAAATGCGCATAAACGCGCATAAACGCATTATGCAAACGCCTATTTTTTTAATCTACATTTTCCAGCAGTCAGTTTCCATCGTTCAGAAACATCCCATGTACATGGGGCCTAAGGCTGACGGGACTTGAAGGCACTCATTCACAGAACTCTGAGAATGAGTGATGCGGAGCTGTTTTAAAATTTGACAGATAGTATTGGGAAATGTCTCCCCGTATTATCTGTCTTATCCCCGTATTAAACGTTCCAAAGGTGAACTTTCCATTAAATCTAGTATTATTGTGCACCATAAAATACTGTATATTGATTCTTGAGAAGAACTTGTGTATTTCAGTGGCCTGTATATCAGGTAACAGGGCTACACCATGAGACTAATGAACTCACCTGTTTAGCAGATGGGCCCATAGTCAATCAATGGACTTCTGTTTTTCTTGCAAATCTACTTCAACAGTTTTTAAACAAAGCTAAAATATATATAACCTCCACTGCCTCAGGATCCATGTGTCAAGTTTTGATAAAATCATGTAGCAGGCCATGGGTATGTGTGCATGTTTTACAGTTTGATTTGCAAAGAATAGAAATACTAACATTGCAATTTTTTTTCCAACTGAAGTTTAAATAATGCTTGTGTCAGTTTATTAAATTCCCCCACAATAAAGATTTTCAGCATTTAAAAATGCTTAAATTAGTAATTTTCTCTATTGTATACAGAATAATCTGAATGTTAAAGTGGTTGTAAACTTCAGACATGAAATATGAACAAAGTATATCCCTCTATATCTTAATCCAGAGCACTAAGTGTCATTTCTATCTGCTGCCTCATTCCTCTGCTATCAGCATGAACACCTCTGAGTCCTTATGCACACTGGACGTTTTTACAGCGCTGTTTTTGGCTTTTGACGTTTTTTTCTACAGTCAAGTAAACTCCCCAGCATGTTATCCTATGTGTCCATGCACACATAGACTGTAATCAATGTTTATTGGCTTGAAAAAAAAAATCCAGTAATAGTGGGTTTCTAGAGGATTTTTTTAGCTGTAAAAACACTCTAACTCTGAAAAATGCCGTAAAACATGGTAAAACACTGCAAACTGGCGTTTTTAGACTTTTTTTGACCCAAAAACTGCTAAAAAACACACGCAGAAAAACACGGGAAAACGCCGCTAATTGTGGCAAAACGCTGCTAAAGACTACTGCAAAAATGCTAAAAAAAACTGAAAAATTCACGTTTTAACGTGACTTTACACAGCTAACATTACCAGTGTTATTAAAATGTCCCTTGTGTATGAGGGCTGACAAGTTTTCCTGACACCAAGAGAAAAATGTTGACAGGGGAGGGATTTCCAGCAGATTGACAGCCGCAGTTCTATTCCTGTGAGCTGTGTGGAGGGGGGTCTCTTCTCTTCAATCAGCTCTCAGAGCTCTCCTCACTGAGCACTGCAGTGTGTAATTTCAGTTCTCAGCCCCCTTTTTTGTGAACTCTCAGACAAGCTTTATAAATTCAACACTTTGAATGGATGTAAAGAAGAGAAGACTGTAGACAAACAGGCACAACATATGTTAGGAGGATTTGTTTCATCTCTGTGCATCACCTGAGGGTAATCGCTTCACTGGGTATGTGTAAGGGTTCACAATTAAGTTTATCCCTTCTGTGTAATTGTCCCTGTTCCTGGTTATTAACGAGATGGGCTTGTTTGCTGCATGTAGGACGGAGGAGATGAGTGTGGAGCTATCCACCGCCTGACCACCAGAGAGGGAGCCTCCATTATATCCAGTGAGCTGCACCCATCCACCCCTTAAGGGGAACTCTGGAAAACCCTGATCCATCATCTTAAAGTCCCAGGATCCATCCATCCTAAGAGGAAGTTTACTGTACTCCTGTCCTGCCCAGGGATGACCATTAGATGGCATCAGTATTTCATATAAAACGCGCATTACTTTGCGCGTTCTGGTGAATACGCATTTTGTATACACCTGTTTGCACAATCACCGTCTCCAGGAAGATTTAGTATTCATGAGCACTTACAGTGAGGAACAGAAGTATTTTAACACCCTGCGATTTTGCAAGTTCTCCCACTTAGAAATCATGGAGGTTTGAAATTCACATTGTAGGTGCATTCCCACTCTTAGAGACAGAATTAAAAAAAAAAAATCAGGAAAGCACATTGTATGATTTTTTAAAGAATGTATTTGTCTTGCACTGCTGAACATAAGTATTTGAACACCTGAGAAAATCAGTGTTAATATTTGGTACAGAAGCCTTTGTTTGCAATTACAGAGGTCAAATGTTTCCTGTAGTTCTTGACCAGGTTTGCACACACTGCAACAGGGATTTTGCCCCACTACTCCACACAGATCTCCTCTAGATCTGTCAGGTTTCGGGGCTGACACTGAGCAACACAGAGTTTCAGTTCCCTCCAAAGATGTTCTATTGGATTTAGGTCTGGAGACTGGCTAGGCCACTCCAGAACCTTGATATGCTTCTTACGAGCCACTCCTTGGTTATCCTGGCTATGTGCTTCGGGTGGTTGTCATGTTGGAAGACCCAGCCACGACCCATCTTCAATGCTCTGACTGAGGGAAGGAGGTTGTTGCTCAAAATCTCACAATAAATGGCCCCATTCATCCTCTCCTTAATACAGTGCAGTCGTCCTGTCCCCTTCGCAGAAAAGCACCCCCAAAGTATGATGTTACCACCAACACACTGCTTCACAGTAGGGATGGTGTTCTTGGGATGCAACTCATCCTTCTTTTTCCTCCAAACACGACGAGTGAAGTTTAGACCAAAAAGGTCTACTTTGGTCTTATCTGATCACATGACTTTCTCCCATGCCTCCTCTGGATCATCCATATGGTCATTGGCAAACTTCAGACGGGCCTGGACATGTGATGACTTGAGCAGGGGAACCTTCCATGCAATGCATGATTTGAAACCATGACGGCGTAGTGTTCTACTACGACAGTGACCTTTGAAACTGTGGTCCCTGCTCTCCTCATGTCATTGACCAGCTCCTCCCTTGTAGTTCTGGACTGATTCCTCACCTTTCTTATCATCAGTGATACCCCACAAGGTGAGATCTTGCATGGAGCCCCAGACCGAGGGAGACTGACAGTCATCTTTAGCCTCTTCCATTTTCTAACAATTGCTCCAACAGTTGATCTATTTTCACCAAGCTGCTTGGAAATTGCCCCGTAGCCCTTTCCAGCCTTGTGGAGGTCCACAATTTTGTCTCTGGTGTCTTTTGACAGCTCTTTAGTCTTGCCCA